AACATAAAACAGTGGATGGACAATATGTTATACTAACAGCATCAAAACAATTATTCGCTGCTTCTCCTCGTGATTTCAGCGACAATATCCGATAACATTTTCTTTCTGACAAGCAGCTAGATCTCTTATATGCTCCTCTTTAAATATTTCATTGGCTGTATCACCTTTTTATTATTTGAAGAACTCAACCTAATCAATAATGCAATGTGAATTTGTACGTGCTAAGGAATACGAAATTTCTCGGGAAATGAATGTGTAAATCTACTACAATGATCATTTTATGACATTGATAGGGGAAAATGTAAGTAAATCCTGATGTTGTAAGTAATCTTGAGTTGATAATTTCATCCCAATTCCTATTTCACTTCAATGTTTTAATTTGGCAAAAGTTTCCAGGTTTTTTAGGAAATTTTAAATGGTTTCTTCGGTAGTTATTGGATATTAAAGTAACATTTCTTAAGATAGTTATTGATTGATAAACAATTTTTGGGTGAATTCCCGACTCGTTTTTCTCGTGTTACTGTATTCCATGTGTCCTATGAGAAATATTGGAGGAAGTCTTGTTGAAAAGTGTTTACATTTCTTAACAGATATTGATTTAAACATTTGAATTTTGAGATGGTTCATGGATACCATACACCCTATATATATAACTTGGATGCAAGATGCATGCATGTATCGCATAATTACGCAATATATGTAGCATCGGCTTGTGTTCCTACTCGATGCGCTCTCTAAAAAAGGTATTTATTAAAGACAGGTTGATAGGAAGAAAGTAGAATTAAAGAGATTGAAAAAAAGCAAAAGGGAGACAAAGAGGGGGTTGTACGTGCGGTATGAGAACCTGGCATGCGTGACTATTCCCAAATGATACCGTACCCGTGGGATAGAACGGGATGGAAATGTTGCAGGAATAGGATTGTTCATGCAAGATGGCCGTATGAGATACTCTATGGTGTTATTTTTAAATGGGTATTTCCTCCTGAGATTAGCCGGGTTTACCGTGATTGAGGATGAGGAATATTATTATTTAGGTGGTTTACTAGCTCTACTCGGTGTGACTTTATTGGCGAAAAGATTTCTGAAAGACAGAAAACATATAATGGATTACCGAAATTAAACTTCATTGGAATAAAATTTGTAGCATATTCACCAGATAGGATGATGCAATCCTGTGAGTAAAATTATAATAAAAGAATAAAAAAAAATGAAAAAAAGGAAAAAAAGGAAGAGGGATAAGAATAGTGACCCATCACTTAGAAACTATGCTCAAATGTTATTTCCTCAAATGATCAAAGAAATACTGAATATATGTCGTATTCATAAATCGGCATGTTAAACAGAACTAATGGATTATATATTTAGAATTTTTAAATTGAAAACTCAAACAATTCAGACTCCTTTACAACAAAAACCACCTAAATAATATTTCTCATCCTCAATCATAGTAAACCCGGCTAACCTCAGGAGGAAACACCCATTTAAAAGTAACACCATAGATTATCACATACAACCATACAACCATATATACAACCATATTCCATTATATCCCACGGATACGGTATCATTTTGCGAATAGTCACGCATGCCAGGTTCTCATACCGCACGTACAACCCCCTCTTTGTCTCCTCTTTTTTTTTTCAATCTCTTTAATTCTACCTTCTTCCTATCAACCTGTCTTTAATAAATACCTTTTTTAGAGAGCGCATCGAGTAAGAACACAAATCGATGTGTTACATATATTGCGTAATTATGCAATATATGCATGCATCTTGCATCCAAGCTATATACATAAGGTGCACGGCATCCATAAATCATCTCAAAATTCAAATGTTTAAATCAATATCTGTCAAGAAATGTAAATACTTTTCAACAAGACTTCCTCCAATATTTCTCATAGGACACATGGAACACAGTAACACGAGAAAAACGAGTCGGGAATTCACCCGAAAATTGTCTATCAATCAGTAACTAAAGAAATGTTACGTTAATATCCAATAACTACCGAAGAAACCATTTAAAAGTTCCTAAAAAATCTGGGAACTTTTGCCAAATTAAAACATTGAAGTGAAATAGGAATTGGGATGAAATTATCAACTCAAGATTACTTACAACATCAGGATTTACTTACATTTTCCCCTATCAATGTCATAAAATGATCATTGTAGTAGATTTACACATTCATTTCCCGAGAAATTTCGTATTCCTTAGCACGTACAAATTCACATTGCATTATTGATTAGGTTGAGTTCTTCAAATAATAAAAAGGTGATACAGCCAATGAAATATTTAAAGAGGAGCATATAAGAGATCTAGCTGCTTGTCAGAAAGAAAATGTTATCGGATATTGTCGCTGAAATCACGAGGAGAAGCAGCGAATAATTGTTTTGATGCTGTTAGTATAACATATTGTCCATCCACTGTTTTATGTTCTATCATAATAATTCTTGTGACCTCAGAAGTAACCTCAGA